CATCCACTACTGACATAACAATTAGTGAACTCAAACTTACTGCCTACGAAAAAAAGGCAGGGCAGGTTAAAACAATTATTGAAATCGGATTTACATCGCTGTAAATAATTCATTTATTTCAAGTCTGACGAAAATTTCCCTTTTCCCGTGATGTACATTTTGGAGAAAATTTCAGCATCATGAGAAAGTTATTCAATTATTAAACGCAGTGAGATTTATTCAGTAGCCAATTTGTTCAAGTAGATTTCGTAATTTCATTTCTTAAGCTCTAAAATCGCTCATTTATAACTCGTATCGCCAGTATTTCCCCAACATTTTTTGCGCCACCTAAGTATGAATATATAATTAACTATTAAACGCTGATTTTAGGCCAGTGCAGTCAGCGTCACGCTTTTTTAAGGCCTGTTTTCCATCTAAAGATATGTAGAAAATCTCCGTTAAGTCCTCTAGAGTGAAAATGACCCGTCTTTGAGACATCAGTATCGCCAGTATCAGTTTTTTTCGTCGCCCAAGTACTCGTCAGAAAACCTGTATTAAAACGATTGAGAGGTAGTTTTATCCGGCAATTTAAAATCCGACACGGGTCCAATCGTGAAAAAATAGGTTATAGAAATCGGCAGAAAGGGTCATTTTACTGAAGATTTAATAGTTAGCGAATAATGTGGATTTGCTGCTTTTTTATCCGAGATGGCGTTATTTTTTGCGTACTTGCTGATTTTTCATAGCCCACATTATTTTTTACAAATAAGGCACACTCTCATGTTTTAACTGATATAAACTAGATTGGCAGAATTTTGAGGGGAAGTCGATTTCGAAAATTTGGGCGTTTAAGTTATCTTCGATATGTAACGCAACAGAGTTATTCCTCTGTATTCATGTCTCTGATCCTGATCAAACTAACCTCATCTCGATGTGTTATTGAGGTAGGTCAGTGTATAGCACTCACTGCAGGTACCCGTTTTTTTGAACAGGAATTCGTTGTACCGTGAAAGAGATCTTTCCTTGTCCCGCGCGGAAATAATTGCGGGACAAGCACATCTCGTGATCTCTTATTTTTCTCAGATTTTCCTCATATTTTTTTGTTCCGAATTCGAATTCCTGTGGAACACGAAGTGATTGCGCAATCACTTTTTCGAAAGAGCTCTCCGAAAGAAGAGTGCATGCAACATCGGCCAGATCCCGCAAAAAAAACCGGTGCTTACCTTGGTTGGCGCTTTTTGAAATCTCGAATCGACTCCGTCTTTTGATATTTTCGCAGGTTTTCCTTATCCCAATAAGGGACAAAAAATCCAGAAAGCTATAGATCAAAAGTGCATGCACACTGATGATACCATGAAAACAAGAATCGCTGGAATGTACAAATACTGATAGTATATACAAATTATAGTTATTACAAATAAAAGTGACAATTTTCACCGAATTGTAATATTTCATTCTTCAACTATTAATGAGACATGGTCCTCCTTTTTCTATCGTTAGTGTAAAAACTTTTGATCCAATACCAAGTAAAAGTATAAGTTATTAACAGGTTATTAACAAAAGGGTAATCGATGAGTCAGATCTCGCTGGCACGCGGCGGTCACCGTCGAAGATATACCGATGTTGCCAAACTGTGTGGTTGAGTAATAACCTAAGTAGCATGAGGCATGGCCGAAACTTTAAAATGAGAGATGGAATGTGCTTCAGAAATTGAACATTGGCAACTCTTAAGATTTGGAACGCACTTGAAGATGTCATAAAATGTATCTTAGCTGCAGAGACTTCCTTTTAGTTTAATCTTATTCAATCACGGATTTAGGAGAACAGTGGTGTAACACACCTCAAGATCATTGGCTTTCCATAAAAATATACCTATCAAGTTTTGCTCACTACTAACTTTGCTATCTTTAAAATAGTATCAGTTTATGTAGGAAAACTTTCAAGAATATCCTGTAACATTGTCAAAGCTCCTGACTCTATTTGAATTAAAGCAATGCAACAACTGGAACTTATTCGTCCTCAAAGCGTGTCGTCAAATGTGATGAGACATCTTTTCACTGATTTCTCTTGCTAGGAATAGGACCTTTACGGGGGGCATCATTTGGCAAGTATTTTGGAAGTCTGTGAGAGGAGCTTTAGCAACAAAAATTTTTTACGGTTTTCTTTGTCCTGTAAAAAAAATGGTTCATTCAAAGGAAACTACATTCCTGAGTTCTCCAAAACCAAATTCAAAAATACCTGTGGAATGTTGGGATAAATAGATGCGATAAATCCAGATGAGTTCACAATAATAAATTGTAATAAAAGTGGGACAAATAATACTTAAAGATCCATCATCCATACTATAAGCTCCGAGACCTCCTTAATTTGCGTATCTGGTAACGCCTAGTTCCAGCGTTCTGCAGGGCCGATTTTCATTATTTTTGCGGTTATCGACAGGCAATTGTCTCTAAATGAGCCCGTTTTATTCAGATTTTGAAAATATGACTCAGGTTTTTTTATATCACGTGGTAAAATTGCGAATTCTCCCATTTAAACAATGTAAATTTTTATGTTTTGTCATAGTTCGTTTGAGCGTTCTACTTAGCCGATTTCTATGAGTTTGCGGCTATTGACAGGTGATAGTCCTTAGATGAGCCCGCTGTATTCAGAATTTGAAGATAGGATCCAGGTTTTTTTTTTTTACATAAGAGTAGGCCAGAGAGCTTAGGAAGGGGGGTAAAATTTGAAATTTCCGCCAATGAAAAATGGCGGGAATTTTAAATTTAGCGGAAAATTAAACTTAGCGGGAAATGTTGAATTTTGGTCTGTTAGTAGGATAAGTGAATTGAAGGTATTCTCCTTTGCTACAGACCATCCAAAAGCGACTGTACGTTCCGTTCCGTTTCAGTCTTGGCGTGAAGTTTGAAATAAATGCCGATTTTTTTATTCGTTTTTTATTTGTTCAACCGCTCCCAGCCAGAGGGAGATTGGACAAATGAGAGTCGGGTATGAAAATCGTTTCACTTTTTTGGTCGTTCTTTTGTCGACGTGGGCCTAAGAGAGCGCAAAGTGCCCTCTGGGGGTTGGGCCACGTAGCGGCTAGGGGGCATAGACCCCTAGTATATTTATAGATAACAACATCTCCAAGTACTGAGAGTGAAAAGATTGTCTTTATAAGGAACCATTTAGTGAAGAAAAAGAGGGTTTCAAGTGTAAACTCACTACCTTTAAGCAAGAAGTCAACTGTGGGTTTCGTGTCCCGAGTAAAGAAAACATGTAACAAGTTTTGTTCTTTGTGCATGCTTTTTTATTATTCAATCAATTTATTTTGTGATGACGTTTAAGAGAATATTTAAACTCCATCTACAAGAGAGCGTTACAGTCTGATTGGTGAGATCGACAACTGAAAGAAAAATACAACTATATGACTAATAATATGCTTGAAAAACATTCACGTAACTATCAGTTTTGAAGTTTTTCAGAATAACTTCATAAAATAAAGTTTGGGTGCAAAGGTTTATGCTAAATCAGTCTCAAAAGTGGCTACTTTGACTCCACTAAACTTTGCGTATCTTGTTCCATTTTTTACTGCGAGCGATGAAATTGTGTGTACATATTTGTCGAATACGTGAAGTTAGGAAACATGTTCTTCTCAAACAAGTCCTTGCTCATACGCCCTTAGAGACTTTCTTCCATTAATTCGAGACGGTATATTTGAACATGCGCAGAGATGCAAAATTTGATGAAATTCGTTAAAATGAAATTTCATGAGATTTGTTGAAACTCCTCTTCTTCGCCTGGCCATAAAATGTTTAGAGGAAGAAGAAAGTTAATTTCTTTAAAAAAAAAAAAAAAAAAAAAAAAAAAAAAAAAAAAAATTGTTTTCAATTGTACTTCATAGTTGTTTTTAAAATGTTCAATACTTTGTTGCAGGTTGCATACTCAGCCCCTAAAAATTTAACACTATTTTATAGTTCTATCTCAGCAAGAATGTTTTACTTTGCGTCTCTGCACATGCCTCAGTTGAGCTGATGTTCGTGCTTGCCATAGAGAGAAAACTGAAAGTGATTGCAAGTTAACTTTTGCGGACATCTTACACGTCGTTCTCACATCTTACGTGACCAGGTGCCCATCGATTGAAAAAATCGAAAAAACGACGAACTCATCGAGGAAATAAAACACTTAAAAAAGTGCTCAAAGTGTCATTTTTTACATAATAAGTTAATAAAAGTGGCTGGTACCTTACGAAAATTCAGCCAATTTCCACTTGGACTACATTTTAAAATAAGGAACTACTATTTCCAACTTATTCAATAAATCACCACACCATACGGAGACCAATAGCACATATCATGTCGGTCCTAAAATGAGCCTGATATAATAGTTCTTTCGTGTATAAAATAGACTACATTTTGCAATTTGGAACTACGATATCTGGTTCATATGTAAAAACACTTATGCGTATAAAAAAACCAATAGTGCGATCGCTACTTCTAAACTGACCCATAAATTGTAGTTCCCAATTTTGAAATGTAGTCCAAATGTAGTCTATGAATACTCAATAATGTCAGTGAGAACAAATACTAACGTACACATTGGCGGATCCAGGCATTTCGATCGAGGGGGCGGGTTTTTCCTTGACCCCATCTACCGTGGGGTCTAAGGATATGGTATGGTATTTCCGGGTTTAGTACCCCTACGCCCTCCCTCTTGGATCCGCCTGAACCTGCAATCACATTCTATTTTTCACAGAAAAAATGGATTGCTGATTTAACAATTAAATTTTAAAAAAATATGCCTGACATGTTCCGAAACACTTTACAATACTGCCGTGCTAAGTAAAAACGCCGTATGAGCCTCCAGACGTTGCCAAATGTCCATCAATAAAAACCGAATCAACAGGGAAAATTGTGAATATTTTTCCAAAATTTTCAGCCAATTTTTTACACAATTTAATGTAAAATATCTGAAAATTTCCAGGAATAAATTTTGTCAAAAATACATGTTTTATCAAAGAAAATTTGGCAACTCTCGAGTGTTTATACGGCGTTCTTCCTTAGCACGGAAGAATAGTGGAAAGCTAATGCAGTCACGGGGGTGGTTAAATTGGCATATTTTCATTGTGAAATCTACATTGAAGCATGTCAGACACTTTTTTCATCTGCAAAATTGTTAAATCAGCGATATAATTTTTTCCGTGTTCCACTACGCTGCTTTATTGTCGATGATCCTGGTGATGGCCCTGTCTTCCTGCGGGACGTCATCGTCGTTCCAACCCCAAACGCCGGGTCCGTGGTGGTGATGGGGGTGGGTTCCGTCCCCGGTTCTTCTCGCTCGCTTGGCCACCATCTCCGGGTTCACCGTCTTTCGCTCGTAGACCTGACCGAGCCAAGCGAACAAGTCCACCCAGGCCGTCGCCAAGTTCACCTTGTAGTCCCACAGCTCGGCGTTCTTGTAGTCCCACGGGAACGTATGGTGGTAGTTGTGCCACCCCTCGCCCATCGACGCCACCGATACCAGCATGTTTTCCGTGGGGTTGATGTTCCTGTAATCAAGAAAGAATAATGAGAATGGAGATGTTGCATGTGTGTGGAATTTGCGATTTGACTGTTGATTCTAATGGATAAGTTCGCGAAAAACACGATGGTGTCTCTGGTTTTCCCTGAAATCAACTCCCAAGCTCAAAAAAGCTCTTAAATTGAGGCCAAAATGGAGGGAATATCCCACGATATCCTGAGAATCAACCTCTACATCAAGACAAATTCTCCATACAAAGCTAGGGAGCAAATTCATTAGCAGGGTTGCCATGTTTTCAGTTTTGGAGTCCCCAATTAAAGTGGCAGCCCCGTCAATGTATTTGCTCCCTATCTTTGCATGGAGAGTTTGTCTTGATGTAGACGTGGACTCTCAGGATAGCGGGGGATATCCCCTCCATTTTGGCCTCAACTTGAGAGCTTTTTTTGAGCTTGGGAGTTGATTTCAGAGAAAACCAGTGGCACCATCGTGTTTCTCGCGAACTTTTACTTGTGAATCAATAGTCAAATCGCAAATTCCTCACAATGCAACATCTCCATTTGCACGTGAGCACAGCAATACAGCAGGAACATTAATGTTTCTTATCTCGGCAGATCCTGACCTAAGTCTTTAAAGAAATGACAGGAGATGCGGTTTTATTCGACCCGTTCACGCAATTCGCGTTGTTGTTGTTGTGTCACCGGCCGAAAACGCCTTCAGTTCCGTGTGATACTTCACCACCTACACCGGAGTTAAAATATTTGTATAAAAAATCCCTTCGCATCTTGATACAAACTCGTATTCCTTCAATTGGTCATCGAATGTCGTCTTGCACTTAGTCGTATAAAACTGCAATGGAAACTGTTGGCATAGTATGTAATTTTATTTCATGTAACTTGAGGATAAAATGAATATAATTTTACCGGCTCACTCGCCACCTCTAGAAATTTGGAAACATTTATATAAATTTTTTCCTGAGTTATGTTCCATGATAACTCATAAGCTCCCATTTAAGTTTTGGTTTAATTTAGTGCTCAAAGACAATTGTTTATAAGGCAGGCGGTTCTTAGAACAGCCTGAGATAGATATTGAGTGGATCGAGCTTAGCAAATGAGGAACCAAGTTTGATTCGGAGAGTCTGCTCGTAACAGAATGTCCTCTTCACTTCTGATAAAAAAATTAAATTTAAAAAAAAGTGCCAATATTTTAGGTTTAGTAAGCTGCAGGAGCATTATTTATTCACCACGAAATTCAAATTTTCTATAAAAATTGCATTCTTTTTTACATTATCAATAGAATGTTTCTTCTCCTCTGAATGAAAAAAATCGCCAAATCAATTCGAAGAAAGAAATCAAGTGATTCCTTATTAGATTTCCTATTCAAGTCAAGTCAAGAAAGAACTAACGGTTTGTGCTGCTCATGGAGTTCTTGAAAGAAGCCAACGATTATCTCTCTAGTATGCAAAACAAATTGGTTGCTCTCTGTTCTGACTTTACTCAATTCATCAGAGCAACCGCAGAAGACACATTCAAACATACCTCAAAATCTCAGTAAAAATCATTTAAAATTTTTACGTGACGCTTGGCTCAATACCCCACCTAACGTTAGTTTAGGGTACAAATCCTACCCACCCCATAGAGCGTTACGTTATTCAAAGATGTACCCGATTGTCATTTTTCACGCTTCGTTCGAAGGTAAATTAAACTCACTTATCATAGGGTCGGGTGCCCCACATGTGGGCCGCGCTGTTGATGAGAAACGTGCCGTGTGACGTCAAGACATGTCGGAGTTGAGCAGCGACTATATGTGATGTCCAGAGGCCCTCGCTCCAGAAGTACCATGGCACAAGTGTTGGCACTATGTAGCCAAGGAGTACACTTAAGGGTAGGTAATATCTGTAGATAAAATATGGAAATAGTTAAAATGGGTTTTTTTGTCCAGGGAAAATTTATCATAACTTGACAACTGTTTTGACGAGCAAATGTGTTTTGAAACTTCAGCCGAACCGTAATAAATGCCAACATTCTGCTCAAAATTTGCCCATTTAAATAATGCAATTCACCGTTTTTGCCTCTAGAAAGGATAGTGAAAAGTTTTAACTGAATATCTGACAGGCTATTCCTAGTTATGCACTTTTGTCCGCTGAGGTCGAAAAAGTGGTACCCATGAGAGATCAGATTGGACTACTTTTTGCAATTAGGAACCACAAATTCTAGCTCAGTTTAGAAACAACGAATGCATCATTAGTTTCCTTATGTGAACAAAGATGTGTGTTTTTTTTTTTTTTTTTTTTTTTTTTTTTTTTTTTTTTTACGGATGAGCCGGAACATTTAGCACCTAATTGCAAAATGGACGTATTTCTGCCAAACGGAACCAGAGACAGGTGGGAGAGAAGGGTGTGCTCGTTAGTCGAGGGTCGTAAGAATGAAGGGGAATTTTAAAGCGCCAGACGTAGCGGCAACGAAGCCGCGTCTCCTTTGTCGTTCTTGGTCGGCAGTAACTCATTAGCCCTGTCCACAACGCTCTTTTGCCATGCCCATGGCTCATGAATTATGCCGCATAAATGACGCATTCAACTGGCACACAGTTCCGTTTGACTGAATGTAAAATCCCGCTTGTCCATTTCTCCAAAGGGAATCACGGCCACTGTACCATTGTTTCTTATCCAGCTTTTTAGAGCACACCCCATCCATCCCACTCGTCTATAGTCCCATTTGGCAGAAATACACGTCCAAACGTATACCTATTGTCAGTCCATCATTTTTCCCCATGCGTGGTCCATAACAACCATCCGTTCCAACCAATAGAATCGCTTCCTATTCGTTCTGCCACCTCTGTCTGTAGCTTTGTCTATCAATTTCTGTATTTCCAAAGGGAATCACGCTCACAGTAACATTGTTTCTTTATCCAGCTTTCTAGAGCACACCCCATACGGAGAAAAAAAACTTCATGCGTGGGACCCGATCGAAGTTTAGGTCACATGGATCTCTGAAGTTTTCAGATTCAGCATCTGAACACTTAAGGTCCAGCTGCTGAGGTTTGGATCACACATCTGAAACTCCACTTCTTACATCTGAAGTACTTCGGTTTTCACATCCGAAAAACCTCGGTTCTCACATCCAAAAAACCTCGGTTCTTACATCTGAAGTCTTCAGATGTAAAAACTGAAGTTTCAGATGTGTGATCCGAACCTCGACAGCTAGACCTAAAGTGTTCAGATGCTCAATCTGAAAACTTCAGAGATTCATATATGACCTAAACTTCGGGTCCCACGCACGAGGTTTTTTTCTCCGTGCATCTATCCCACTCATTTATAGTCCCATTTGGCAGAAATACGTCCAAACGTAGTCCTATTGCCAATCCATCATTTTCCCCCGTAATCATTAACAACCATCCGTTGCGACCAATAGAATCGCTTCCTATTCTCTCTGCCACCTTTGTCTACAGCTTTGTCTATCAATTTCTGTAATTAGCCCACTGGCGAAGGACTCCTTGAGAAAAGTGAACGGGAAGGTGACTCACTTGTACTGTGCAGAGACGACCCAGTCAGACTCCACGTCTCGGGTGTCGATGCGGCTCTTCTTCTCCTGGACGGCGGGGTGGGGGAGGACGAGGACCCAGCCGATGTGCGAGAAGAAGAAGCCGCGGCGGGAGTTGTGCGGGTCGGCGTCGGTGTCGACGAACTTGTGGTGCACCCGGTGGTCGCGCACCCAGTTGAGCACGCTGTACTGGACGGCCACCGTCTGGAACACGGCCATCGTCAACCGCAGCGGCCACCTCGCCTTGTACGCCCGGTGGGACCATAGTCGGTGCGCCCCTGCCGTCACTGCTATCAGGGACAGGCTCCCCAATAACGCCGCTGTCATCAACAAAAAATGAAATTAAAAAAATTGAACTACCCTTCCTGAATCTCTTTCGTTTTCAATTTCACTCTGTTAGTCATTTTTTTTAAATTTTGTTTTTATGTATCACAGGATTCCTCCCGGTATTAGGAACCCAAAAAGAGTCAAGGACTAAAGTTTTGGGTGCTTTTCTTACCCTAGCCCCTAACCGTTAAAATTTTAGAGGATAAATCTAAGAGCCTGAAAAGAAAAAAAGAGAAAAAAGAAAAGAAAACGGACTATTTCAAGTGCAAGAAAGCCCCAGTTATACTGCAGATACTAAGAACGGCCTGGTCAGGTGTGGGTATGTGTGATTGGTCATTATTCTTATTATTATTGCACTATCATGCTAGTTAATATTGTTTAGAGACGTGTTTTGTCAGCTGCTTTTTAGTTTTTAGTTTTTAGTTTTAAGTTTTATGCTTGTACATTTTCTACCGAACTCCTCTTGTTTAAAGTCATGAAGATTCATCGACCAATTTTAACTTCATTTTTTTGAGTCAGTCATTCACTGATGGCTGTAAGACTTATACACAAAAAGAAAAATTCACACAATCTGAACTTACCCCATATCACAGTGGCGATCTTGACTTGGCCGGTGAGACAGTAATAGATGCCAAGCAAAGATACACAATGATTAAATATGAAGAAAATTCGGCGCTGCCGGGTTAGAAAAACTTCGTCCCAGGATAATTTTACTTCATTTTTTACAGGCGGTGACCAAGGGCTCAGCCTAACTCTAGGATCCATCGAGAGTTCATCTACATCAACAGAAATACATAGAAATCAATATTATATTCTGTTGCACACGAGAGTTTCAATCAGAGTAAAAATATAGAATTGATTTCTCTTTTATCCTCAATAGAAAAAACAGGTAGCTAACCTGTGCGAATGCAAGGTAGGTTACCCAAAGCCGCTCCTAGCTGTGTACGGATGGTAAGTCAAGAAACGCCTTCAATTCTTTATGATACCAAAAACGTAACATGGCTGCACCTTCTCGGCTGCTAGGCTGAAGGCTGAATGTCCGTCTATAGTGACGGTTCGTTGAGAGTTACAGCCCGTCAGTAGTTGGGCTTTGGGCACGCAATTTTCGAGAATAGTTGTACCAAAATAAAAGATCACCGGAAATTTTCGAAATAAGGTTTTGACTCCTCCAGTGTCTAAACTAACACGTGGTAACTGCTAGAGAAACAAAAATTGTTTTTTGAAAATTTCCTGGAGAAAAAACTTTCAATATCATATTTATGTGTAGATTCTATATATCTGCATCCATTATGCGTACCTCCAGGATTTCCGACCAAAACCTGGAAACATATTTTTATTGTAGCGAATTCATCTTCAGTTGCGATTGACTGATTTAGTGGTTGCATTATTCGGTATAATGTCTTAAAATTGTAGCGCCCTTAAAAACCGCGGCAAAGCGATCTATATCAAAACAATCACTTTGTTATCGACGAATATATCAAATATCGAGTAACTCAATCACTAAATCAGTCTATGGCCTTACGGAGAAAAAAACTTCGTGCGTGGGACCCGAAGTTTAGGTCATACGGATCTGTGAAGTTTTCGGATTGAGCATCCGAACACTTAAGGTCCAGCTGCTGAGGTTTGGATCACATATCTGAAACTTCAGTTCTTCCATCTGAAGTACTTCGGTTTTCACATCCGAAAAGCTTCGGTTCTCTTATCTAAAGTACTTCAGATGTAAGAACTGAAGTTTCAGATGTGTGATCCAAACCTCGACAGCTAGACCTGAAGTGTTCAGATGCTCAATCTGAAAACTTCAGAGATCCATATGACCTAAACTTCGGGTCCCGCGCACGAGGTTTTTTTCTCCGTGCATGATGTAAAATGCACGCCATCAAACCATCGGGGAATACTTACACCAAAAAATTATGAAGAGTCGTTTAGCGGAGTGTTTGCCAAAAATATAGAACTTAAAAAGTTTGAGACTGGCCTGGCGGATCCAGGAGGACGGCCAAGATGAGGAGCATTCTCTGGCGCTCGTGTGAGAAGGTGCAGAGGCACATTGGGAATTTTCACGGGAATCCGTCGAGTTCGTCCGGATACTACTGTCGGCATCCAGTCGTAGCTCCAGTCCAGGAGGAACGGCGCCATTTCTAGAAAAATAAATTGAATATTAGCCGGTGAACTTCATCCATTATACACCCGCACTAGGGGCCTGTGGCTGCTACGCGGCCGCCAACCACTTAAAAAAAACTAGACGTAAAAAATCTTAGAACGACCATGTTCAAGTTATTTCAGAGATGAATGGATTCAAAAGCCGACGGATGCACGTGAGAGAAAGTGTATTTTTCTCTGATTGCAACGTTATACGCCACTTTTTATGTATTATTTTTGAACACCGCTTTTAAAAGTTACACGCAGTCTTTCTGAAGATTTCCTTGCAGTTTCCTGAATGATCTCAATATAAGCATCGAAAATTTTGACGCGATATTTTCGTTCGTTTTATTATCTTTTTATGTAATAAAAAAAAATTTAAAAATCATTAGAGTTTCTGAATCGTTACACCGATGATTCATATTTTCCCATTGATTATGGAAAAAAATCGAAGCAGAGAGTCAAGAATGATGACACGGAATCCTAGTTTAACGGTGGCTTCAGCGATGCGCGAGCCAGAGAAGGGAACGCGGTGGAGTCATCCTCGCAGTTGGACACGCCTTCCATCCGGCTAGCGGAAATATGCCTACACCCGTGGTGGAATAGTTATCTCGTTACGCCTGTCGTGGATGAAATTAAATATCGAAGCTTGCATGACGTTGCAACGTTGCACATTTCTACTCATGTTTTATTCTTAATCAATTTTTTTTTTTTAAAAAAAGTTACACACAGTTTTTTAGAAGTTTTTGAGAAATTTCCGAAATGATTTAAAATGAAATCACAAAAATTTCAACGCGATATTTTCGTTCGTTCTATTTTCTTTCTATAAAACCAAAATTGATTTTACGCAAATCAAGTTTGAGAATCGCTGCATCGTTTGAACATAGTCCCCGTTGCTGAGTCGTTGCAATTAAAATACGTATTTACTCTTTAATTGCGGTAAAAACCGGACAAGGACCGTCAGTAGAAGTGACGCGTGGTCCTAGTTTTGCGGCCATTTTAACGTGGCGCAAGCCATGGAATGGAACTCAGTCGAGTGTCGAGTCGTCTTCACAGTATGATGCGCCTTCAATCCAGCTAGCAGCAATGTGCCTACACCCGAGGTCGAATAGTTATCGCAAATAACTCTCGCATTGCGTTTGGTGCAATGCGAGAAGTATTCATGCAGTCTTGTAGGCGCTAATATGCGACTGCGTCCGACCGCACCGTAATTGGCGCGATCATTCGAACTCCTGTCAGTAAAATCGCGGCATCGACCAATGGGGCTTAAAAGGCCCATGTCGTGTTTCAACGCCGTATGAGCATTCCAACGTTGCCTCGTTTTTCCCGATAAAATATTTTTTCTGAAAAAAGTTAGGAAAGTTCTGTTCTCTGTGTTCGCCTTTTTAGATTGAATGGACCATTAAACAAGGTACGAATTTAAGCGCTCTGATACATGATTCTCTACCAGAATTTCACGTAGAACACGATTCGCGTAACGAAAACTACTGAAATCAACGTCTAGCTAGGATATTAAATGTTCACTGGTTACGGGAACTTTGAATTGCTCTGTCACAAGAAAACTAAAACCCTACGCGAGTCAAATTGCGCACTACAAAGCCTTTAGTAGATTCTTCATTCGAGCATTGTTTATTTCCAACACTATGTTGTTCAAAGTGTGTACAGCTTGAACTGAGCCTCAATATTATTGTGTCCTCTAAACTCCTCTAGACGGAGTATGTTCATTTAGCCCCCTCACAGAATATCCCTAGTTCTGCCCATTGTGATGTTCCCACTTTTTCTCACAGAAATTCCGATAAGATCATCAAAATTTGACAAATTTCACCTGATTTTATCGGGTTAGTATTTCTATCGATAAAATCGCCATTTTATTTTGTAAAATTGGGATTGCATTTCTATTTATCTTAATATTTTCGCGGAAAGCACCTCCAAAAATTGGCATCGATAAGAAAGAGAAGCAGTATTTTTTAGCAATTCCTGATTTGATGTCATCAGGTTGACTTGCCATTAAAAAAAATGGTAATAATCGATCAAGCGCTTCGTAAGTAGTCGCATTATCATTTCTGCTTCATTTCAACTATAATCCTGAGCCTGGAGGGTTCGGAAGGTCCTGAACAGGCCCCACGGAGGTTGAGGTCAGGGTGTCATAAATTTTTGAAAAATAACCTAACGCAACACCACGAAGCGGCACACTGGGAAGAAAACTTAACATATTTAAATTTTCTACCATACACTCCAGTAATCTGAATTGAAGTTTGAGACATCGTATGTGAACAAAAGCTCTGCATATAATGGTCTTGAAGCAAAAAAAAAAAAAAAAAAAAAAAAAAAAAAAAAAAAAAAAAAAAAAAAAAAAAAAAAAGCGTTAAAAATCTACCCAAAAACTGTTTGCACGGGATGAATCTATGGTACGTGTAGACTTAAAATCGTGAAAAATCAAAATATTGGCTGACCCTAATTGCGAGATATCGCAATTTAAAATTTGCACAGTAAGTGCAAGTTTTCCACTAATTTTGATCCGGTTTTTTATTTATTTGTCCATTGAATCGGTTCAAGTTAATATTTTTCGTTCGATTCATGTCGATCGAATACATACCCTCTCGTTGCATGCAGACTTATTATCATACTTTTTTTTTAACTGAGCAATTCACCTCCTGCTGCGTCTGCAGTCATTGTTGTTAGAAAGGAGTTGTACGTGCTGATTTCAGCTCATTACGTACTTGACTCTATGAAGGCGTTTTAAATGCGACAGCAATTCGCCTTCAGTTGCGTCTACAGCAATTTTTGTTACGAATATGTTGTGCGTGCTGATTTCAGCGCATTACATACTCGACTCTCTGAAGGCGTTTTATGTGCGAAAGTAGAGCACTCTGTTGGAGAACAACAAAAGTGAGATTGAATGAATCGCTCAACCCCCACTTCTTTCATCGTTCGTTCTCCAACAGAGTGCTCCAATTTCGCACAGAAAACGCCTTCAGGGAGTCGAGTATGTAATGCGCTGAAATCAGCACGCACAACATATTCGTAACAACAATTGCTGCAGACGCAACTGAAGGCGAATTGCTTTCGCACACAAAACGCCTTCATAGAGTCAAGTACGTAATGAACTGAAATCAGCACGCACAACTCCTTCCTAACAACAATGACTGCATACGCAGCAGAAGGCGAATTGTTCAGTTAAAAAAGAGTTGATAGGAAGTCTGCATGCAACGAGAGGGTATGTATTCGATCGACATGAATCGAACGAAAAACATTAAAGAATATTTTGTTTGATAAGTACGTTTATCCTACAGGTTTATTTCATCATTCCGGGAGCATAGTTTTTTCTGCATAAACAAAGCCCTCTGATCGCTGCGCGGCCCAGCCTAAAGAGGACGCTCCGCGCCCTTAAAATGCCGCCGCCTGGGTCTTATTTTAAAATTTAAAAAGGTTTCCACGTTTGGAAGTACTCACCAGTCGATGGCTTGAAAAAACATAGAAATCAACCCAGTAAATCTCTAGAACGAACCGAAATAATACGTCAAAAAATGAAAATTTAGACAGTCTGAGAGCTCATGCCTGCAGCCAAGAAACCAAAAAAAGTGACCAATAATTACACATATTTGCTTGCATTTTTGACGTTCTAATTAAGGGACCTATATGCGCATAATTGGTTTAAATATCTTAGCCCACTCTCAAAATACAAGTTTTTTTTTTTATCATTTTTAAAATACGTTGCAGGTAATATGCGGAGCTCTAGCGCTGTTACATGATTTTTCGGCTAATTTTTTGAGTCGGTGAGCATACATGCGCCGTTAACTACGGCTATAAATATGATGTTGCTCAATATGCGCGGAAAATATTTGGAAAATACGACAGCGGTAACAAAAAAGGTCAAGTCGATCTTATCCAGGTTTATTGAGTTAAATTCTGGTACATTTCAAATACGAACACCAAAGCACTGATGCTCAACCCAACGGAAAGAAAGAGGAACGCTGACTTGTAAATCGGTCATGGTGAAAGGTCTCGGCTCCTCGTCTAATTCCTCTTTTTGTAGGAATATACCAAGTTTATCTCCAATACGCTCACTCCCGATGGCTTTATCTATAATTCCGCTCTCCAAAAGTCCCGTGACTTTGTGGTTGAGCGCCTCGAAAAACGGGGAATCCCTCAGCACTCGATAGGCAAACGGGTGCATGAAGACGCAGTCGTCGAGGCGGTGCCATTCGACCGGCTCATCCAGGGACCTCCAGCGAATGAGAAAATTCTTCTGCTGCAGCATGGACTGAGGGATGTTCACAAAAAACGCGTCCGTGTGCATCACAGAGATCAGGGCCTTGTTCAAAGCAGGAAGCGTCTTCGAGAAAACGCCCACTGTTAAATTCAACAAAAGGTTTTCATCGATAGTGTAAAACGTACCATTAATGATTAGTCTTCCTCCGATAATCGGTTGAAGGTGTTCGGACAAAACGTCGTTGATGGACTTATAGCTGGTGAAGAGTTTACTCTCTAGTCCTCCGTAGTCCGGATGCTTGCGGAGGAACTCGATATCGACGGTGAAACTACCGAACCACGTATCTCGTTTGCGGTGTTTAAAAATCTAGGCTCACATTTTATTTTTTTGAAGTAGACCAAATCAATGTCATTCCTTGAAATTTTCACGGAATTTTCTCCGCACAAAGAGGAAAAATCACAGAAATTTTCAAGACTGGATGTTAAATAGTTTTTCATTTAAAAAATAAAGTATGACAGGAAGTCTGCGACGTCGCAAACCGAGATACGTGGTTTGGTAGTTTCACCGTCGATATGTTCTTCCGCACTCGACGTCGTTTGAATGAACAAGTCGGACTCTTGCAGCTCTGCAATATTTCGGATGTCCTCGTAACGAACGCGGTTGCTCAGCAAAGTGACCATTTCACTCTGATAAACGGTCACGATGATAAGCGCCGAAAAGGAGAATATTAAGAAGAGAATTTTAGCGGTAAACCATTTACCAAGAAGCAGTCTCGGGGGGCTACCA